GTTTGGCTATTCTGCTCGTTTAACTTAGATTTGAGTCTATTAATTAATAGACTCTCCTTAAGTTTTCTTATAGAAAATTTCACATTCAAATTTAGTATCTTTATTTTGAATAAGAATGGGAGTTTAGGGCTACGTGAGTGTTCAGCAGTAAATTCAGTATTGGGATATTCATTATTAAAGTAGTTTGGAGTCTCTCAACACGTTAACTTTCTCTAGAAATAATCATCTACATATCTTCTGTAATATAATGAATTGGGCTGTACAGGACATTCTTCTAGTCAAGATTTTTCAAGATAACATAGGAACAAATTGACACGTGATGGGTCTTACCTTGACACCATAGCAACGCTATCCAGTTGGTAATAAATTTCACTGTTATAGAAAAAATGGGATTCTTTGGTGATAAATCTCTTAAGTTTCTGAAACATTCATTTGATTGTTTTAATGTCAATACAATAACACAGTACATAAATCTATAGTCTCTTATTGTTTTATATTGGTGTACAGAAACTCTATATCAAAACCAGCGCTATAAATGTCTTTCTTAAATTTCAAAGATTTAATTCCATGTGAAAATTCAATGTTGTTTTGTATAATATATTCATTTCAATTAGCAGTTTCAAGAACTTAACTAAAAGCCCAAATAGTTCATGTTTGTTTACCATACACCTTCAGTCTAACCAAAAATTCATCTTTATGAATTTTAGGAACCCCCATGCATCATACTTGCATGAGAACAAGTTCATTACATTTTATGATATTCATTATCCGTTACTACGTTTTATTAGAATTGTTTTAAAATTCTAATAAGTATCTATACAATTTAATTTCTCTGATTTAAGTTAGATCTTTATCTAGTCTCACTGTCACTTAGGGTTTCGTTAACTTTATTGATGTAATCAGGTTTTATAATAACTAACCTTTTTATGGTTAAGAATTCCTCCTTATTTATATTCATAGGTTTTCTTCCAGAATTACAATCATTGAGCAATGCTAAGCCAATACCGTTTATATGACTTTTTATGCTATCAAAATATTCATTGCTTTCCTGCCATATAGTTTGCTTGGAAAATTATTGAAGCAGCTTCTCATTATTCAGTGAATAATATTCATATATAAGTCTTCATGGAAGAATGGCAAATTGTAAATCACAGGCCAAGACACTTTTTTTCTATATCATTTAAGTCATAATTGGAGAGGCTAGAACTACATTATCTGGATATTTTATAGATATCTATTTGTCAGAGTTCCTTAACCTAATTACAGTTTTAAGTGATTATTTCTACATTTTTTTAGTGTTTCATTATTATGTACATTTATACAATTAAACAGATTATTATAATCACACTTGTTTGTTCAGCAAAGACAATTTTTACTAAGTTGTCGTTTGATTGCTTTTCAGTTATAAGGCGTTGTTTTTTGTTGTTTTTTTTTCAAAATTCAACAGTTTTTTCTTAAACTGTAAATACCCTCGTGGACAATAAAAATTTGGGCTAAACACTATAAAATGAAAGAGTTTTGGTGTTATATCTTTTACATTGTTCCAAAAATCTAAGTCCAACTTATTTTTGTAATACTGTAAGTGTAACTTTTGTATTTTCTGAATTCCGACAAAGTAAAACTGTTATACCTATTACTGATTACAGTAACAACTGATTTACCTTTTGGAAATCTGAGAGTTATAATGAATCTTAATATACAAACACCTATAAGCCACATATTACAGTCGTATCTAAGCAACTAACAACTTAAAATACCAATTCTACTTCCAAATGAAGCTCGATCATTAAGTATCATTTCTAAAATATCGCTTAATCATAATTTGGAAATAAAATTTAGTGTAGGAGTGAGTGACGCCAGATGTTCTGTCCCCAGTCTACCAGAAAATAAAACTACCCAATTAGAATGTAGAAAATAAAGGGCGAACTAAACCATAAATGTGTGTTAAAATAATCACTACACTTAGGCTAACTGCAATATACCCAGTTGCTTGAAGTTAGCCTTTCCTGGCGTACTTCTTTTTTCTTCATCTTCTTCATATTTTTCTAGGGAATAAGGAAATTATGTAAATAAGTGAATATCACACCACCTTACTTACACTAGGTATATTTTTTCTGAATATAATATTTCTAGTGTGGGTATAGATGTTTCCAAAATCATAAGATTAACTTGGGTGTAGCTTCTTTCATAGTGATATCATTATTTTGGGTGCAGCTTTTCTTCAAAGTAGTAACATTACACTCGGTGTGAATTTTATTAAAGAAATATCACTACTATATTGTGTTTGTATTTTAGTTTCAAAGTCGTATCATTACTGTGGACATAGCTCCTTGTTCAGTAATGTCTCTAATGAGGCTGTAGTTTCTCTATCGACACGATGTAATTACCTTAAACTTGGCTTTTTCAAAGTGTTATCATTGCTGTTGGTGTAGTAACTATTAAACTGTTATCGTAGCTGTGAATGTGGTTTCTCTGAAAATTGTATCATTACTGTGGGTGTAGTACCTCTTTAACTGTTATCGTAGCTGTGAATGTGGTTTCTCTGAAAATTGTATCATTACCGTGGGTGTAATACCTGTTTTACTGTTATCGTAGCTATGAATGTGGTTTCTCTGAAAATGTTATCATTACCGTGGGTTTAGTACCTCTTTAACTGTTATGGTAGCTGTGAATGTGGTTTCTCGGAAAATGTTATCATTACCGTGGGTGTAATACCTGTTTTACTGTTGTCGTAGCTATGAATGTGGTTTCTCTGAAAATGTTATCATTACCGTGGGTGTAATACGTCTTTTACTGTTATCGTAGCTGTGAATGTGGTTTCTCTGAAAATGTTATCATTACCGTGGGTGTAATACCTTTTTTACTGTTATCGTAGCTGTGAATGTGGTTTCTCTGAAAATTGTATCATTACTGTGGGTGTAGTACCTCTTTAACTGTTATCGTAGCTGTGAATGTGGTTTCTCTGAAAATTGTATCATTACTGTGGATGTAGTACCTCTTTAACTGTTATCGTAGCTGTGAATGTGGTTTCTCGGAAAATGTTATCATTACCGTGGGTGTAATACCTGTTTTACTGTTATCGTAGCTATGAATGTGGTTTCTCTGAAAATGCTATCATTACCGTGGGTGTAGTAACTATTAAACAGATATTATTGTTGTGTCTGTGGGTTGTAGGTTTTATCAAAGTGATATATTTACAGTTAGTGTAGGTTTTCTCAAAGTAGTTTCATTATTATGGGTGTAGTTTCTCCCATAGTGCTATCTTTACAGGAGGTATAGTTTAGGCACTTAAGATTATAGTAGTTGTAGTTTCGTATAAAATGGTATCAATATTCTTTTTTTTTTAAGTTGATACTTTAAAAGTTGTTGTAATCTTTCTCAAAGTACAAGTATCACAATGGCTGGATGTCTCTAAAAGGGGTATTATTAACTTATTTATACTGTGTTGTTATGTTTAATCATATTTGCTGTTTCAGTTTTTTTATTACCAGAATCACTTTTGTGGTTGTTTTAATTCTTCAACTGTGGTTTGCTTCAAAATTCATTATATTTCTACCAAACCATGTCTTGCTGTTAAAAACTGGTATTATTTGACATTTTTTTGTTATTTTTGACCTCTTTATCTTCCATATATTGTATATTTGTATTAATTAAAATTAGATTACAGTCTTTGTGTCTATACGTCAGAACAAACTAAAGTCTTAATGAAGAGACCAATACAGACATCTTATGATATATTTCATTTATTAACAGCAATGACTGTAAGTTCAAGCTTACTTCAAATAGATGCGTTGCTAAATTTATTATCACGCCAATTCTAACATTTTTAGCTGCAGAAGAGCTGCTGATTGAACAGCTCTGAGTTTGTTCTTTCTTAACAAGTACAAACTTTTAGCTCATAGTTCCGTCATCTGTTGACCGATTTGAGATCTAATTACAGTTTTCAGTTTGAGGAAGTATACACAGTTTTACCTGTTAAATATATATATATATATTGTATTCCCTGAATCAGAGGCATCATGCGGGATGAAAATACACTGGAACTGGCTAGTCCTGGGAGGAAATTCTAAGTCAACCAGACTAACAATTACTTAAGTTATGGAGGTAGCGTTGCTATAGAGACCATTAATAAAGGGAACTGAAAGATAAATGCTTAGTTTATTGAGCCAAAATATTACTATTGTGAAAGGCGGTTGCAAGAATTAACATTGCTTCATTATATATATATATATATATATATGTTAACGCTCGAAATACAACACAAAATGTACACTTCTATATAAAACATAAAATATCGTCAATTCGCAAGACGTATGAAGATAATTGTTTTTCGATAATGGTATCATTTTCAATAGCGAAACGGTTGTATTGATTTTAGACTAGTTTCGCTTCTACTAGCATTTCTTGTATTTTCAGGTTGGTAGAACACCGGTTTTAAGAAAGTAAATTTAGTAGAACTTTTCCAACAAACGTTCTTTTTTAAGGAAGTTGTGCTGATGAAAAGTCGTGAGAAATTTATATTTTATTATGATTTTTTCAGCTACTAATAATCACGTGTGTATCTCCTCTTGATTATTTACTTATTTTGTCAGCTACATCATTCTATTGACGTATTTATGCGTGTATGTTGAATAACTCTTTAATAAGTATTACCTTACCGTAAAGTATGATATTACCTTTTTTTAACATTGTTGACTTTTTGAAACAGTTGGAAGAAATGATCTAAATGGGGAAAATATGTGTAACCAAAATAGCCCTAAATCAGCGAAGATATTTAAGCAAACAAATAAAGTTGGTTTGTTTTGAATTTCGCGCAAAGCTACACGAGGGCTATCTGCGCTAGCCGTCCCTAATTTAGCAATGAAAGACTAAAGGGAAGGAAGCTAGTCATCACCACCCACCGCCAACTCTTGGGCTACTTTTTTTACCAACGCATAGTGGGATTTATCGTCTCATTATAACGCCCCCACGGATGAAAGGGCGAGCATGTTTGGGGGGACGGGGATTCGAACCTGCAACCCTCAGATTGCGAGTTAAGCGTCCTAACCACCTGGCCATGCCGGGCCACAACAAATAACTGCAGCTTCCAACTAGTTTGTAATAAATTGGGGTTACATATTCTTAACAACTTCATCAAGCTTTTTATCAAGCTTTTTATCAGACACATTGTTGGATATTCCAAGTCAAACTAATAAGGTACAATGTTTGGTAACGTTTTCATTGCTCAAGCTAAACATTTTCCATTGAATTTATTGCATCGACAAATCAGTGTAAGTTGTAAATAAGTCTAACCTTATGATGTTTCAACAACTCTAAACATATTCAGTTAGCTTATTAGGTTTTGTTGAAACACTATTATTGCATTATTATTGTTACTAGTATTAGTATTTTATTGGCATAGCTTAATGTTCTGTGGTGAATTCCTACAAATAGTGCCAGAAACAACAGAGTACTCTGTCCTATTGATTAAAACTGGCTAATGGTCTTGAGATCAAAATGCACGTGACAGTGAAAACCTATATGTAAAGAGTAGACTTTTCTTATTCTGTTAGGCTTTTCTTGTTATGTATGACAACTATTAGTTAGCTATGATTGAAATTTATCATTTCTTCTGCTACCATGAAACTTCACACTATAATTTAAAACATCAAACTTGTTTACTTTCTTACTGATAAAATAACATCACATTTATTGACACTTATGGATTGCAATAAGCCTTTCATGACAAGCATCATGGTGTAAGTTAACATAAAACAATACAGGGTTAGTTAGCATGGTCGATTACGTGACTTATTCCGTAGTAAGTTTCAAACACAAAAGTAATGACCAGTGGCCTTAAGTTCCGTAATACTTCTGAACTGAATTTGTCTTGAGCAATTTCTACAATTCTGTAAGATTTAGAAAACGTTCTATGTTAACGAGTGTATGCTTTTAAACACATTCAAATATACATTCAATGAACTTATGAAACATCTAAAGTTTAAGCATGGTAGTGAATCATTTATCTCAATGGTAAACTGTGAAAGTAACCCAAGAATCTTCGCACAGTATATAATTTATTTTGAAAAACAGATTTTTTAAATTTACGTACACTACTACAATTTTTGTGAACTTTATATACAAAGTTCAGTGGAACCAACGTTATGGATTATCATTAACGTTTGTTCTTGTCAACATATAAAATGTAAAGTAATACAATAATGTCATCTTGGCCATCTAAAGATTTTGCATAAGTAATTACTTTTTGTAATAATTAGGTAAAATAAACGGCTGAGTAGCATAAGTAATAAAAGCTTTATCACAAAGCTGTAATTTAACCTGTCCTAATATGAAAATTGAAGAATCATAAAGACACTACAATGGGTAAACTTGAAAAGAAGTTACATATATAAAAGTCATGAAGATTCTGTAGGTTCACATAATGTTTAGCTTTTAATTTTCTGAGCTACTTTGTAGCTAATTATATGTCACATTCTGTGAATAAAAATGTCTTCAATCTTTCGAAAAAGAAAAAATTCTCATTAATTTGTATCAATGACTTAAATACAGCAAAAATTTATAAAATTTATTTTATTTCCCAAAACAATTTGGAAAAAAAATTTATTAGTCCTGAAAAAAATTTAAATGTACATTCACAACCGTATATATACTCTCGAAACCAATACTTCGGACAGAAGCCCTTTTGTACTTTTAAATGAGCTCAAGGTAGCTGATTTTGCTTTATTTCGAAGAAAGCTTGAGTTTGGAAGAATCTTCATACAAGATTAGGAATTTCTATATCAATATTAAACAGTTAATCAGTAAGCCTGGACAATAGATCTTGGTCCATAATATTCTAAACAGGATTTATAAATATGTCATATTAAGAGATGCAAGTGAAATTGCACAGACTAAAAGGAATTTTTATACTTTACAATCGTTTGGAGAGAGATCAGTTCTAAAGCAGGTTGTGAACAGGCATATTGCGAACATGATTTCTCTAATTTAGGATTTTGAAGACACTAACAATTCTGAATTACAGCTGCACATGAGGTGTAATGTGATATTTCGATAGAGAACTGACTAACGTATTATATGTAAAATAGATAATTTCAAAGATTTTTTTATTCAACAACATTTTTGATATTGAACTGTTATCAGAAATACTTCAATTAGCTATGTTAAATCTAATACAATAGTAATTCAAAAGACTGGTATTTCTTAGTTGAGCAGTTTACAACATGCAATAACAATGTAGTAAGCATATTTAATTTGTTCAGCATTATTCTTATACTTATAGGGATGTTATTTCATGCCAGCTTATTTTGGGGAAACTATATATACATATGAGGTTAAGTCACAGAACACCAAACTATCACAAAAGGATATGGTTTTCCTGATATAGTGTAACAGAACCAGAAAGATAACTAATGGTTGGTGAAGCATTTGGAAAACATTTAATTTGAGCCAGTTCGGCTACGTGTGTTTTTGAATAAGATATTTTCTAAGCGTACCCTCGGAACAAGAATGTGCAATAACTGAAAATGTAAATGAAGATGAGCCAGTAAACGCGCTAATACAAATAATCAAAATGTTAACTTAAGAATTATGTGTTTTTAATATTTGGAGAATTTCAAAGATGATGGATAGTTTTGATTGTGGAGAAGAACTGGTGTTTTCAAATTATATCAGAGGAAATTCATTGGCAAGCATTGCTCACATTTAGGTTGTTTTTAGCTAGCTTTTTGAGTTTTTATGGCAATCGGACGGACGAGTATGTGATTATTACTGAGATAAAATAGGTTGCTTTGATCTAGATGCCAATTTCAGATGATATTTTTTAACAATCAGAAATTATCTGGGAAATCTATATCGGACTTAAACAATGCTAAGGATTAATTTCACATCTAATTTGATTCATATTCTGTTGAATTTTCTTGTATACACTTTCTTTTGGACGTGTATGTTGATTGGAGATCTTCGGGTGATGACCTCTTTTGTTTGAAATAACCTGGTTTAACTACAGAGTTATAGCAGCTTGCAGAGTGATTCACATTTTTCTTATCACTTTCATATTTAAGAGTAACTTTAGAAAATGAGTAAGAGTTGACAGAATTGACGCCTAATCCAGAAGTGCCTAATCCTCCTAAATCACTATCATTTGAAGTAAAATTATCATCGTCGGTACTTCCTGGTTCCAGAGCGCAATTTCGTGACTTGAAATGTTCGAATTGTCTAGCTCCCTGATCAGTTGGCTGAGTCATTACGTTTGAAAAATGAAGTGGGTTATCTGTTTCTAAAGGACTTAGTCGAGAAGTGGCTGAGTGGTACTGAATCTTCTCTTCAGAGATCAGTTTGGTTATCACAGAATCAACTCTTTTGAAGGAAGAAACCTCAGTCTGAGAGCATTTTTTAATTTTATCACTCTTGTTATTTCCATCCAGTGCCAATGTTGACTGGGTTTCAGATTCGCTGTCTCCAGTCGAAAGCTGAGATTTAGCTTTAGAGGATACAGGAAGAAGAAAAGGCACCGGGATGGGTATAGGAAACGGAATAGGACAAGGAACCATAATTGTCACTGGAGGAAGGAGAGAGGATGTGAACGGGTTGTGCGTTTGAACATGAGGAAAAGGACTAGGTTGGGAGTTAAAAATTGAGCTGGAGACATTAGCTTGTGATAGTGGAGGAATAGGTGGAATTAAACCAGGGGGAACAGGAAGAGGCGTGATGCTCGGTCTAATCCCTAGTCCGTGTTGCATTCGAAGCAAGGACTCCATCTGCTGCTGAGCCACCAGGTTTAGAGAAGATGGATACATATTCGGAAGAATTACTGGATTTCTTAATTTATCGGGGCCAAAATGGAAAGAAGGAAACATGTTTAGAGAAGCGTGAGATTGGTGAGGGTTGACTGTCGGATAAGGACCATTTAACAGACTACCGTGAGTATTCACGCTGATAGGACTGTGAGGTGTGCTGCTCGTACTACTTGGGGAACGTGCTGGCTGGCGAATGGGTGGTGTTACAGTAGTATATTTTATGGAACTACGAGAAGAACGACGTACCTTCTCTTGTTCTTTGATTTTGGAAGACTGTCGAGTCGGAGTTTCACCCTCTTGGAATGACGAATTTACCAAACCTCTGTTAGATAAACAGAAAGGTGTTATCCTTTTATTTTTGTCTGATGGTGAAGTGTCACTTTCCTCAGCTGTTTCTGGACTCTTATGTCCGTGACAATTTGTGAATCTTTGTGTTTTGCAGTCCTGAAGCCACAGATCGGGCGTAATCAAATTCAATGAACTACTACCAGATACCCTACAAGTAGCTTCTTTGAGATGTGGATACATCTGAATATGAGCTTGAGTCTCTGTACAAAATATGTTCATTCTGTATTGGTTCAAGCACTTGTCACTACAAAATTGAAGCTGGTGATCTCCGTCTTGGAAGTCAACATAGTTCACAGTGTGTCTCACATGTTTACACCAATCACAGACTTTGTTCTTTTTGAAAGAAGCCCTTCGACACTGAGTAAAGCAAAGTTCACTACAGAAAGCCTTATTTCCATTTGTTTTTTTCAGGGTAAAAAGTTTCATTCCTACTTTCTGACACCACGAGCAAACTATGCACCCAGAAGGAAGATTGGTGTGTTCTGTAAAAAAATAAAAAACAACATTATTAATCTATTTTGTTTATATATAATTAACAGGCAACAGTTATGTATATCATAAGAAAAAAATAACTTTCCAGGCTTTATTTTGTAATAGAGATTTGCGTCTAAAGTTCTTAATTCAAAGAGTTTGAAGATATTTAGATGTGCCTCTTTAACAGTCTTTACCTGTAATATCAATAGCACAGTGTATTTTAACAAGATAATACACCACACATAATTGTATTTTGTGAGATATAAACCATTTTCACGCAACTTTAAAGTTCTTATATAAAAATATAATATATGGTAAACATTTATTTATTTAGAAATTTGTTTGTTGGTAGTTAAGCACAAAGCTACACAAAGGACTATCTGTACTCTGCCCACCACGGGTATCGAAACCCGGTTTATAGCGTTGTAAGTCCGCAGACATACGGCTGTGTCATTGGAAGGCTTTATTTAGAAGAAACAGTGGCCATAAAAATCTATTGAAAGCAAACAAATAGCATTAAGAAAGTATATGCATTGTGTAAGAAAGCAGTGAAGAGCAAGATTATTATTTGCTTCTTATCAAAAAATAGTGAAACGTTTTATTTAAAACGTTCCAAGTTTTCATTCCAAAATTGAATAAATAGTGAAATATTGATGGGTGAGAATAATTAACTTATGGTTAACATTTTTCTGTTCTGGTAAAGTAGATATGTTTATACATTTACAGATTATTTGAAAAGTTCTTCATAGTAATTTGTTTTAAACAAGGCCCATAGTATGTATCCTTTTTTTGTGCGTGACTACAAGTTTTATCTATTAAACTCAAAAATAAACAAAAACCGAACATAATTATTCAATAACAAGAAAATGTGATTATATATATATATAAAATACATAAACAACTATCGATGCATTAAACATTTTTGGAAATTTTTCATTGAAATGTTTTTATGTGTCAATTTTACAAAATTTATAGAAAGTTGGTATGTGGTAACTAAGTTAATCATTCATCTTCACATAAATCTTCTTCATCGCTAGAATTGTCGCTACCATCGGATTTGCTTCCTTGAACCTTTGCTTCATCCTCTTCATCCCACAGTATGTCATTATGTGTCCCATCTATTGCATTGGATATGCGACAATTTTTGAAATATTTAATACTACTTTAATGATTTTCGATGGTAGCTTCTAGTAGTATACCTAACAAAATTGAGCGTGAGCGAATATAATGCGCAGTCAATTTTTCGGGAGGTATTTGGATGAAAAAAAAGTGCGCATTATATTCGAGGTTTAGGTTACATATATAGTTCAAACTATATACTGCTGTAATAGACTTCAGCATACAGTCAATACATAGTAAACTAATCAGTGGGGAATAATTGCTGAATAACTATAGTATGAAGACAAATTTTAATACTGAAATATGAATGTTATTTTTGAATTAGATTACTATTTTACGCATATCATAGTAATTTTGAAAGCACCCTATACTGCTTAAATTTTACTTTACTAAACACTGTGGGAAGTGGTATTAGTTTTTGGTGTATTTAAGTGTTTTACACTCACACAAAAAACCTATCATTCTATAGGTATTTGAAGAACTTGTAGCATTCCGCCACAATTTAATTCTTCGTATTTTTAGCCAACACTAGACAGCTGGTACATAATTGAATAGAGTTGTTTAAACATTTGTGTACAACAACAAGTAAAAGCTTGGAATAGTCTGTTCTTTCACTGGGGTGTGTCTGTGAGCCAGACTAGGTTTAAACAACTCCGTTCAAAGGTATTGGTTTTTGTTGTGTTTTGTTGTATTTTTGCGCAAAGCTACACAATGGGCTATGCACTCTGTTCACCGCGAGAAATCGAATCCCGTTGTAGCATTGGATGTCAATATCATAATATCTATGAATTGGCGAAAGATACTCTGAAATAAATGGATTAAAATTATTCCAGAGTTTATGGAGTTATACTATTAACTAGAAAATATCGGTGTACAGTAAAAACGCACGCGTTAAACTAGAATTGTATAGTTTTGACTGGTGTTGTTTTCTTTTCAAAATTAAAAGTTATTTTTAATATGTCACTAAGTGCGTATTTTTCTTACTTTTCGGTGTGTTCTACGCTACTTTTTATGTCAGAAGCATACTCACTTGCAGTACACTAAATACATATTAAGTTTAGAACTATCCAGAAACTCTCTGGTCACTTATCGCCTCTGGTCATTTGTAAGTCTGAGCGTGCATGTACTATTAAATTAATATCGTACCTCTGTTCCACACCGGTCACAACTGGACAAACATTGTAATTTGCGAACTTCATTAAAGGTGAACGATCGGAGAACAAGATCACGAGTTACTGACTTAACACTTGCAATCAACAAGACAGAATACAGACGAATGAAGCTGTATCACTGCTTCTTTGAATTAAAGTACCATCCATGAGAGGGCCTTGGAATACAATTTTTTTTCAACATTATGAAAAGGGGCAATTCACGAAGTAAAGATCTTAGATAAGTTGTCAAATTGTTAAAGGGTACACCTCGTCAACAAAACACCTCTATTGTGGGTGGAACCTGCTTAACTAAGTGCATCCACAGATCTCAACATTTAAATCATACCATATACAATACCATGTAATATAAGCTTTCGCGATCCTTTAGTCGTTGCAAAAGGGCAGGGTTGCCATTTCATTCCCCTTTTGCTTTTAAAATACGAAGGAGAAAAGAAGAGGGGGAGCGCCTCACGCCCTAGACTAATGAAAGACATAGCCACCACGTAGGAATAAATAACAGCGTCCACCTCTAGCAATGACACAGTGTAATTTTCCGTTTGAAATACACGAGTTAGACTTGGAGTTCCGTCTGTAGTCACGAAACAAATCCTTCATCTAAAACCCAACTGAAGAACCCGCAGAGTAATGGTAGAAAATTATGGCAACTAGGGGGCGTGCCTCCATAAAATATCTCTTATGGTCCACCCCTAGCGGAGGCAGACCAGCCTGCTTGTACCAAGAAAATGTCTCATTAAGTTCTTTCTTTGTGTGCTTAACAAAGCCTACTCGTTCATTTCCTTTGAATTATCTATTGGTAGAAACTCTAACTTAAGCGGGCATGTGTAAATGCTGCTTACGACGAAGAGTGGGTATAGAAAGAATATGAACTGACACGAATGAACTAAACTTTGACAACAAGGCATTCGGAATGAGGGAAATCTGATATAGAAAATAAGAGCTAAAAACATAAATTTGTTTGTAATTAAACATAAAGCTACACAATGGCTATCTGTGCTCTGCCCACCGCGGGTATCGAAATCCGGATTCTAGCGTTGTAAGTCCGTAGACGTGCCGCTGTGCTACTGGGGGCTAAACTAAAAACATAAAAAAGAAGGGGTTAGATACAAGCTTACAGTCTGTACCAAAGGTATCTACTTATTATAGTTGAGCAGCTTGTACAGCATGCTAAGATAGATATTTATATCTTAAATAAATATCTATTATATAAGAAAGAATAAATATCTATTCTGTAAAGTTAACATTACCTCTATAGTTGGCAAGATAGTGTGAGTAATTTTAATGAAAATAGGTGTAATTTCAACAAATTTTATTTAATAAATCAAAGAAAAATCCATAATTAAACTGAGTACGCTTTAAATTAGAGCTCGAAGAATAATCTCTAGTCAACCAGAATGGACTAAACGATAGGCCAAACCATACCTGATCATTTAAAATAGGTTTTAACTAAGAGTCCGAACAAACGACACTGTAACAGGGATTGTTCATAGCTTAGAGAAAATAAACAAAACACTTTTGACCAACAAACTTTCACTGGAGAAGTAACGAACCGTACAAAAATCAAACTAGCTGACTGCGGATATACTTCTTGTGATCAGTTAGGGTAGACTTTTAACTGGTAGATAAAAAACAACAACAAAAATCTAGTCACCAAAGCAGACTTTAGCTTATGAAGTAACAAACAACAATCCTGGTCAATAAGAGTGGACTTCAAGTGATAAAGTTTTAGGACTTAAATTGAAGGAATATAATTTTTAAAACGTGTTTACAAAATTTTTGTAAATCTTGTATTATATATGTAAAGGAAAGAGAAAGAGAGAGAGAGAGAGAGAAAAGTAACAACAACAACTTATATTTTGAACATTAAAGGCCCCTTGCTGTACATAATTAACTCTGTTTTCCTTTTCATAGACCTAAAATAAAATACTTCAGTCGTGGATAATTATTCATAATACAGTCTCTCTCTCTCTCTTCTTTTTTTTTTTCATTACCAGCAGGATCGAACTTGCGCATCAGGCTCCGTATTGAAGGGCCCAAGATTTCAGCATGCGCTTTATAAAAATGGTAGTTCATTGTTAGTTTTGAATTGTTAGTATCCAGATCGTACAATGAAAATTATTCTTATTGTAAAGGTACACCACTATAAGGACACGATTGATTAATTCCTAACGCTTTCATTCACTATAGTATAGACCCAGAAGAATGCTTAAAGTTAATTTTTTAAATGAATCTCTATATTCTACGACCTGATCTTTCAAAAACCTTAGGCATCACCCCCTGAGGCATTCTAATACTATAAAGTATAATCCCTTTGGAGGCAGTAAAACGAAACACAGAAAAATATAAAGAAAATAAGATAAATTATATCCCCTTGACCTCCAAGTTCCGTTTGCTTATACTCGTCAACTTTGCGCTCTGTTTCTGATTATGAATCATTCGAGACAGAGAGACGCTAGGGGGAGGGGGAGTTGAATAATTAATGGCTGAAGAACTTATGCGTGATTCGAGTTTTTGTTAGTACTCATCTCAAGTGTGTTTACATAGTTCAAAAGCGTTTAGATACCCTTGTGTTTGTGTGTTAGAGTAAAATAAATCACGTATAGAAGCTCGTTTTTTGAGACCCACAGTACAGATACGATGCATTCATTACCCTGGCAATAATGATCATCTAATTAAAGAATAATTTCTCAAAGTAAGGTCCAACAACCCTGATGGATCTG